AACGGCACATATAGAAGTCATATTGCCAAAAGACATTTCTCAATTTGGGATATACCACATATTCAAGTGGAAGTCTTAATTGTGATGCCGCACAAGGCAACAGTGGTCAAGTCAAATTTATTGGGTCCAATCTTTGTCAGTTTGTGGTGTACGAACAGAAGAGATCGAAATAACGGTTTTCCCAAATCAAATCAAAATCAACATTTACATAGCCCAAATCAAAGGAATGCCTTCAAGGGCTGTACAAAGCAAAGGACACAGAAAACGAAAATAGCAAGTGTGCGCGAAAGGCACTAACACTTATAAAAACCTTGGATAAGAAAGTCAACGTAAAATGTGCTATTTTTCTAGCAATCTATTATCACGCAAACGACGTGTGAAAAATATTTACTCTTAAATCACTATGTATTAAGATATTTATTGAATTATAAGTATTCATGTCGATTCTGATTCCATGGTTTGCAGTCCACTTTATTTTTTCTCTTGTGCTCACATGAACCTGCTCCACTGACCCAGTGCTGTATTTGGTACATCATTTGTGGTTGTGGGGGTACTATTGCATATGTTTGGAGATGTAGCTTGTGGGCTTGGTAGGAAACATTTAACGTTCTTATTTATAATATAATTTCAATAATATTTGTACATGTTGATTAAAGGGCTGCATCCATTGGAAATAAATAACTGACACCTGCGGATTACTTTTGACTAATTGCAATATGAATCATGATATTAATATTATTTTGTGATTCGGAAATCAGAAAAAACTAAATGATTCTGCTCGAAGGGGGTTTGCATTCTCTGGTTTTCCAGGAGGTGACTAACGATTCCAGAAGTTCCTGGAAGCCGGCGCGGGCCTCGGACAGGGAGCGCCACGTGCCCCGGGGTAAACGCCGGACATCCCAGCACTTCAATCTAGAAATCTGCTGGACGCATCGCTCTGGGAGCGACGGTGGAAGTATTACCAGGAGAACAGGCCCGCGAGCAGTGCCGAGCCACTTACAGGTAGGCGCAAGGGCGGGGAAGAAACTTTAAGTGGTACCTTCACGTAGGGGACCTTTTCTGGGGTAAAAGCAACTTTGATACACAATTGTTCAAAGTTGTGTCCGCGAAATTAAGAGCTTTAATTATTTGGGGGAATTAACTTGACACTGGGGCGCCGCATATCTTTGATTTGTGTGTTAATCCTAGAAGTGGTTGTAACAGGTATTTTCTGTTAGTAATTTAGGTTTGTCTGGTATCTTGGGTTGTGTTTAAAAAAAAACTACCTTTGACCTTTGGTCTGTGTCTTCATTCGTTACAGCAGCCCAGTGAACCACACGCTCACAGGACACTAAAACCAGGTGAGAAACTCCACCTGATGCTGTTCAGCCCTCAACTCAAACTGAAAGATTTTAAAAATCTCAGAAGTAAAAAAGCTATGTTAGGCTATAAAGAACACAGCTCGGTCACCATGACTTCACGTCACAACCGCTAAGCTGAGAAGGTGGCTAATGTTGGGCTAATAAGGAACTACGCACGGTCGACATGACTTCCAACGTCACCACCGTAAGTAAAGGAGGCATAATGTTGGGCTTTAAAGGAACGTACTGGCACGGTCAACATGGACTTCTGTCACCACCGGCCAAGGCTAAAAGTGGGCTCAATTGTTGGGCCTATAAAAGGAACTACAGCCACAGTCACATGGGACTTCACGTCACCACGCTAAGCTAAAGGGTGGCTTAATGTTGGGCTATAAACGACTACAGCACGGTCTCCATGACTTTCACGTCACCACCGCTAAGCTAAAGGTGGATAAATGTTGGGCTTATAAAAGAACTACAGCACGGCTCACATGACTTCCACACGGTCCACCACGCTAAGCTTAAAGGCGGCTTAATGTTGGAGCTATAAAGGAACTACAGGCTCGGCACATGACTTCACGTCACCACCGCTAAGCTAAGAGGCGGCAGACAAACCAAAACCACATTAAAAAAAACATTGACTTCAAGTTAAAGAACAAAATGTGCTAAAATGCTGACTCATTTCCGCGTATTATCACTCATTCCTGCACCACTCTTATAGGTTATTATCAGAAGTATCTTCAGGGTCCCAGCGGATCCTTAAAAAGTTTTTACCTTAAAAGTCTTACATTTACTTTTTGATATTCAAGGTCTAAACATTTCGAAAAAGGTTCTGGAATTTTAGGAAGGGAGGTATTACATTTGATCTTGGGCAGAGATCTTGTTTGTTAATGTGAAGGCGCAGTCATGTTGGGTTTGGCAGTTGGCACTGAATATGTCCCGTTTATTCAAATGCAATAAAAACTCCAGTACGGTTTATACTGTTTTTAGTTCATCGATTTTTTTTGTATTGATATTATTTTTTCCCTTGTTAAGAGGGGTCTTAGGTCTTAAGAGTCATTCAATTTTTGTACTTTGAAAAATGTGCAGATACCCTGATGTTAATTGAATAAATCTGACATTTTGCAGGTCAGCGGGGGTCAAGCTGTCGTCCTCCGGTCTCCCACGACCACAGGACCCACTCCCACTCGTCCCTCCTCGCAGTTTGGGGGCCGTCCTCTGTTCTCCCCGAGCGGGGGGGGCGGCGGAGCGGGAGCACCGGGAGCGTCTGGCTCAGTCCGTTCCCGGCTCTTCTGCCGACCCGAGCACCGAGACGACATCTGGAACCACCAGCGGCGCCGCTCGGCGCGGGTACGAGGCGTAGAACTGTAGAGCAGGCGGTTCCCAACCTTTTTTCAACTCCGGGCCCACTTTAAGAATCTAAAAAAAAAGTTTTCGAGGCCCACATTCAACCACAAACAATAGAGTGGTGCAGTGACGCGTCCTAAAACCCGGAAGTGAGTTAGCATTTTACCACTTCCTGTTCCCTCGTCTCAGAGCCAGTGGGATTTCTCTATAGGATTTTGGAAAATAGCTGGAAATAAGGTTTTTGAAGAGTTTTCGTGTCTGAAAAACGATGTTTGTTAACAAGTGGCTGGATAGGACTACAGAAGTTGTCGAGGACGTTAAACAAGTACAAACCACAGACTGTCTGTGTCATGGCGATTACAGTCGCTGGTTTATTTATGTCTGTAGGCCGTTGTGAGTGTGGACGGTCGGAGCATATACAACGTTAGCTTAGCCGATCTCCATTCAGAAAACACGCATTTTAAAAGGTTTTTCGCCTGCCGTCTGTCTGCAGACTTGTCAAAGCATTAATTCATGGTTTTTACTAACTGGTATCAGTATGTTGTTACTTCGGCATCATTTTGAAACGTGTTATAATTAAATCACGGTCAAATATGTTCATCTTGTTGTAGTTGTACCCCCCTTGCCAGCGATTCTCTCACTAGTTTAGCAAACTCAGCCCGGTTGTTGGCCCGGAAAGAACCTCGATTTTGGAGAGCCAGAAAACTGTGAAAAAGTACCCGCTAGCCGGAGCTAGCCCTAGTGGAAACGCAACCAAAAACGGGCCGGGCACGGCACGCTTAAACCGTGCTACGTGCTGCAGTGGAAATGCGCCATAAGTTTGTTTGCCCCTGTTCTGCTTGAAAGCAAGTACCTGCCTCCTGCAAACTGTTAAAACAAACGCTTCAACTTGTACCATTTAGAATCTGTATGTTTGAATGTCGATTTTAAGTTGGCGTGACGTTGAAGTCGTGCTGCTGGACACAGCTGTAGTTCCTTTATAGCATAACGTTAGCATTTTGCTTCTGGCGATTAGATTTATGATTCGAAAATGATAAAAGTAGAGTAGACATGTGGAGATTATCCGGCTGAACAAAACGTGCATTTATCAAACAGGTTCGTTTTCCACAGACCTTATTTTTTACAATATTCCAAAATCCTATGGAGAAATCCGGTTGTTTTTTTGTCGAGGGAACCCATGCGCAGTTTACTTCAGGGTCGGCCTACAAAAAATACGTCATCACTGCACCACTCTATTATGGTCATTTATACCATATCCAACTTAATTGTAGCATCTTTAACACACAAACGAGGGTACCTTGGTGTAGCTCCGTGCCACTGATAAAGCCTGAGCGGTCTCTGTCAAATTGTTGAAAGAGCCCCCTCCACCGCTGCATGAATTCCCACAGTGCAGAGAAGCCAAAAATGTCCATTCGGCCCGTCCTCGTCTTGTCAAACATGTCTGAAAGGAAACACAAAGCACAGCACGTCGTTATAGCTTACCCTGTTCTTTCAAGGGGAAATGCATTTCCAGAATGTTTCCAGGAAGTCTTCCATCATGGAACTTCTTTTTGAATTTCTTGAAAGTAGCAAACAGGAGTCACACATTTCTCGTTAAAGGTAATAGGAAACATTAGTCACTGGCAAACACAATTGGAATGTCGGGATACCTTCGCAGCTAACAAACAACAAGACAACATGACTCAGTCGTTATTTAAGCTGGCTACTGTCTACCGGAATTTCTAGTTTATATAATGTAGAAGTAAACTTTACTGTATGTTACCATCAGTTCATATAGGATAGCCTGTAATATGATATGTGAGTTTATGCGCTATCAGTGGGTTTTCTTCTGAGGGTTGCTACAGTATATCATATTGGACTAGGTTAAAGATCACTTACATGAGGATTACATTACATTACATGTCACTTGTTAGACGCTTTTATCCAAAGCAACTTCAGTGTTTCCCATACATTGATTTATTTGTGGCGGGCCGCCACAATTAAATATTGTCCGCCACAAATGGATCTCATAAAAAAAAATTATATATATATTATTTTTTTTTTTTTTTTTTTGGTGGTCTAATGGATAGTGAGGTGGGGCTGATGATCGGAAGGTTGCGAGTTCAAATCCTGCCTGGAACACCACTACTAGTGTGCCCTTGAGCAAGGCACTTAGCCCTCGGTTACTCCAGGGAGAATGTCCCTGTAATTGGTCATTGTAAGTCGCTTTGGAATAAGGAATCTGCTAAATGCCTGAATTGTAAATTGTATTTTTGGGAGAATAAACCCCACAGATTCTCAACTCCGGTGTGTTTCACTCATTAACAACGAAACACAGAGCAACAAGGACGTTGGGGCGGGGGGTGCGGTGCGGTGCCCCCACAAATAGAATCAGATTCTGTGGGAAACACTGAACTTACATACTCAATACTGTGGGCAATCCCCACAGGAGCAATTTGGGGTGAAGTGTCTTGCCCAGGGACACAACGACATGCTGACTGCAGTGGGGTTTGAACCTGTGCCCCCCTGATCCGAACACCAACGCACAACCCACTGCTCCACACGCCTCCCAGGATGACATGTAATCAACAAAGGTTAGCTCTCTTAAAGTATTTAACATAGTTGAACATTGTGTCACTTTGCCTCAAGGAACACTATTGAAGAATTTAACAACAATCAAACAACACAAAGCTACTTCACATTCACACTGTAGGGCATGTTATTTGGCCGTGACTGCGTGACTTACTGATCATCATGAGGCAGGTCTCGTCGTTGAAAGCAGACCAGTTGGAGTTGACGAGGGCCTGCTTCAGCTCCTTCAGATTGATGTAGCCGCTGCGGTCCGTGTCCACAGTGTGGAACCACTGGAACGCCTCTTGGCCAACACCGGGAGGGATGTTACCTAGAAGGGGAACAATCAGAGTAGTTATTGGATGGTGGCTCAGACGAACTGAAGATGCCCATCACAAAAAGATTGTTTTCTTAGCATACCACTCACTGTTTTCCAACAAGTGGACTAGCTTTATTTATTCTCTTTATTACTTCCCGTCATTCTATTTCTTAGAATTCAATATTTCACTGAAACTCTCAGGCTTCTTAGAAATAAAGCGGCTGCCTCATTCAGATGCAAAACAATTATTTATTTATTGAGAGATGAAGAAACACTCTGCCTGAGAGTCGAAGCTGCGGGCACTCTCTCAAGCAGGAAATTGATCACAAAAAATAATACATCTCCGCTTGACTCAATCTTTAGCACTGATTTAAAAAACAGTATCTCTGAACGTAAAAATAAAATGCCAAATGTATTTATACAGCTTAGTACAGTATACAATTAATTGATAGTGTTGGGTTGTTGTAGGAATGTGTGGATAACAGAAAAAAAATGTTACAATTGTGTGAGATCAAGGTTGAATTAATGCTTTGCGACAACTATAGAACGTAAAAAAAATCCCGTATCTTATTCATTTAACTAAAATACTGTATAATCTTCCAGTAAATGAAAAAAAACTGCAAAATATGGCATAAGGCATCTCAAAAGTTGTGAAACCAGTTTGGATTCTCTTAAAGAATACTTCCCCACATTAGTTAAACAGTCTCAGTGTTTCATAAGGAGCAGGTTGTGAAGCAAAGGTAGGTGCAGGGTCAAGGGTTGAGAGAAAGTGAATGGAGGGAGAGAAAGGGGTGTTAGAAATAATGGTGTAGGATAAGGGGAGGAGTGGGGGAGGGCTGACTGTCAGAAAAATGAATGGGTAGAGAGGGACAGGTGACAATTTAGGCCAGAACCTGATGGGATCTGTCCCTGTGGGGAGTGATCACGACATTGGCTTTCGGGCTTAGCTGCTACGGGAAACCGTGTACTCACACACACAACACAATCTTTACCCTATCTGTCTCTTACTCTGTTTAGCCTTCACTCAGTATTACCAGAGTCATCACTCCAGCCCTGTAATCCTGCTGAGGGGCACAAACTGAACCCTGTCTCTACATGACGGTCTGGGAACGCAAGTCATTTTCTATCCATCATCCCAGCAGAGAGGGAGGGAAAATGAGAGAGAAGTGATGAAGAAGAGGAAAGAGAGAAGCCACCTCATGTTCAGAATATACCTCCCACAGACAGAAGCCACCTACAGTATCAGCTAAGAGTCACCTGCAGGAGCATGCTGTCCATAATGTCCTCCTTGCGGTTGTCCACCGTAACCCCCATAATGCCCGGCGGGGGCACCCCCTTGTCCCTGTCCATACTGCCCTCCTTGAGCTGGGGCACCATAGCCACCATAAGGAGCTGTTGGTTGACGTGGGACCCCTCCATGTGGGGACCCTACATGTGGGGATCCTCCATGTGGGGACCCTCCATGTGGGGACCCTCCATGTGGGGACCCTCCATATGGGGCTGAGGGGTGTCCCCCGTAGGGACCGCTGCCCCCCCCGTATGGGGCACTGGGTGGTGGGTGGCTTCCTCCTGGATAGCCCTGCAGGGACAGACAACACAAGTCCACTAAGAGTATGTACAAGGAACAAACTGGCCATTATACTTTTGAGATAAAAAAAGCAAGATAATAAACTTGTGTACCACACGTTTTTATATATCTACAACACATTGCTTGCATGCATTGTAAGATGCCTTGTTATTATCACCAAAGGCACCACCAAATAGGATGAATATAAATTGAATTGTTATTTGTATGAATTCATATTATAATATTATTAATAGTGTTATATATGAAGCCCACTGTTGCTCACAGGCTTTAAGAAGGCTTAATATTAGACCCTGGAAAAGGGGATTCCCAGCACTTTTACTTTTTAAATTCAACATTTTTTCTATTATACTTCTTTACTTTGGTGTGCAGGAGTAATCGTTTAGTGAGGCAATTTTACTTCTGCTTGGAAATATATTTTCCATAAGTCAAAACACATGCAAATATCGATAATTTGCTTAGAAAAGACTACAATACAAAGTACAACACAGAGATAACCAAGTCTCAGATAAAACGGGAGCACTATAATAGCTAAAACGTATTGTTTAACGCCAACTACTGTACAACTCCAGGAATGTTAAATATAAAACACACAGCTAGCACAAACTACTAAATGTTATTAACAAGTAGCAACAGTTTACATCGTTTACTCCTATCCATACAGTAGCAAACCAATTAATGGCTAACGTTGCGTTAGTTAGTATTAGTTACGTTACATTAAGGGAATACAACAGATAATACAGCTATTCCACAATATTAACATGTTTGTATAATTAACATTGAGTAAAGTATTTAGATACCTGGCCGTAGTGAAAACTCATGTTTGACAGACTTTACTTCCTTCAACACGGTTAGCAAAGAAGGCGGATGCAGAACTGTCCGGCTAAGGGCGTGGACGTAAAAAATACTCAGGCTCACTATTGGTCAATTTGCACGTCCGTCACAAAACAGCCCGCGTCACTGGCTCCTGATTGGATAATAGAGTGGAAAAGGGATGACGACAGGACAAATAAGTAGCCTCTGAATCACTGTTCCCAGAGCCATCGGCAAAGTTATTCTGTCTTTGCTCTCATGAACACTGCCCAATACTTAGTGAGTTAGTCACTCACACTCAGTGTCATTATATAACAGATACTGGGTTTACTGAGTCTACTTGAGTTTGTAACAGTATTTTCGGAATTTATTTCAATCAATGTCTTACTATTCCTATAATTAATCAATTCAAAATGCACTGTTTTATGGCACAATTTTTAATTCTTATCGGTCATATTATTTCAATGGTTTCTATTTATAAAATATAACAGTAGGCTATTTAGCTTTACATCCAATCAGAATATACATTTTGATTCCTAGGGTTGCTACAGTAACTAGTATCATTGAGTTTTGACATACCAATAATCAATATCAAATACTCTAACACTTTTACTCAAGTAACTAAACTAATAAGTGACTTAAACCTCTGCCAAATATCTTTACTTTTACACAAATGTCTCTCTGAGGTACTTCATGATGCACTTCTATCTTGTGTTTTTCCCATACAGTATATTTACAGTCAGGTATACATTTAAAGCTAGACATCTGAATCAGCTTCATTAGCATATGTTATGCACACACACACACACACACACACACACACACACACACACACACACACACACACACACACACACACACACACACACACACACACACACACACACACACACACACAAATTAATTTCACTCCAGTTTTAAGATGCCCTCACACACAGTTACAGGAAATGGATTATAATTGTAAAATGAGTTTCAAAAAGAACAAAGGACACTGTTAACAGTGGTAGCTTTATAGTTTCACAACAACAAATACAATATATCAGGCTTTCTGTGTTGTTCATTTTCATTTTCTTAAGTATAATTTTTTAGTGGAATGAATGTGTTCATACATGTATCACACCTTCATTAAGCAATTCTGAATTAAACACAACATGTCCACATGATTTAAACCGACTCTCGACAAAATAAAGAACATTTTCTTCATATTGTGTTTCTGAAATTAAAAAAAAGTGACTTGTGCCGATTACTGTTCCACCCCTGAAGTAAGTGCTTTGGTGCTTTATCTTGTTTTATGCAATAGGGGGCAGTGTGGTTTTTTTTTCAGGAAAATGTATTGCTCTTGATATAGTGTGAACAAAACTTGGGGCCCAACAACATATATATAATATACAAAGAGCTCTAATATAATAGCATACACATACTGTACTTCTAGCGGACACATACAGTACACAAAAAACACAGATACAAATATCCACACACTCATACACACATAAACCAAATCCAAAGCATATTCTTTACCCTTTATCTTCCTTTGTATCCACCTTTTTTAGGGGTTTATTTGCATGCATTATATGTGCTTTGCTGCAGGCATGATAATATTTACAAAGAGTTGCTTCAGAAATCCATGAATCGATGGATATCTCTTTGGTGTAGAGCAGCCGTTCTCCATGGAGTCTGATGAATGGATTTGCTTCCAGCATCCCCTTCAGTACATTGCACAGTTTTTCAACAAGGCCTTTCCCATAAAGCACATTACATTTTCTTAGACGTCTCTTCTTCAGACTTCATGTTAGTGATGTTTTGGACGGAGGCTGTAGGATCCACTCTGATTGAACTCTTGGACATAAACTCTGACCTGGGCTTTGCCAGTGGCGTCAATTCGTGATTCTCGACAAACATCCTCTTGTTTGCCTCGTTTTTTTTCTTAATGAGTTTTTGGACGCGTTTGCAGATGAGGTAAACCATCTCACAGATGCACATCAGGATGCACAAAGCAGAGGAGACAACCATGAAGATTGTGAAAATCTTCTTCTCAGTCGGACGGGATATGTAGCAGTCCACCGTGTTGGGGCACGGCTCCAGGGAGCACTTGGACAGGCGGGGCATGTCGTAGCCTTCGTAGACGTAGTACAGGATGCAGAGGAAGCCAGTGTCAAAGCCTGCCTTGAAAATCAGACTGACCTATGATCAAATAAATTAAGGTTAAATTAGTACACAGACATTTAAGTCAAATGAGGCAACAATCTATATTCCTGTCCATCCATCCAATGAGAATATCCAGGGGATGTCTTAGTCAATACTGGTCTACAGATGATTATAACTAGTGAAAAACAATGCATGACCTATATGAAGATGAACATTTACAACTTTTCAGATCAAAACTCTAGCAGTAATGCTATTTTATTTCTATGTCAGAAATATTTTGGACTGTTTATTTCTCTTAATTTCTCTTATGTACATTGCCTTGTTTTTTATGATGCTGCAACGCAAACATTTCCCAAATTGGGATCAATAAAGTACATCTATCTATCTATTTAGTGTGGAAGAATGGGGAAACTTGATTCTGACGTTGGACTGCAGAAGAAGCT